CAGCGCTCTCTCCCACCTTCAATACCACGACTGAGGTGCCCTTGAGCAAGGCACAGAACCCCCAACTGCTCCCCGGGCGCCACAGCAAAAAATGGCTGCTCACTGCTCTGGGTGTGTGTTCACGGTGTGTGTGTGTTCACTGCTGTGTCACGTCATGCACGTCATGTGTCACGTCATGTCACGTCATGCATGGAAAAAAAAATACCGTCATGTACCGTGAAACTGGTATAATTTTGAAAAATACCGTGATATACATTTTTGGTCATACCGCCCAGCACTAAGTCAAGTCAAGTCACAGTTGATCTTCATGAGTCAAGTCATGTCACAGCTGATCTTCATGAGTCAAGTCAAGTCGCAGCTGCTCTTTCTGAGTCAAATCAAGTCACAGTTGATCTTCATAAATCAGGTCACGCCTCAGCTGAACTTCCAGAGTCTCGTCAAGTCTCAGCTGAACTTCCAGAGTCTCGTCACATCTCAGCTGAAATTGCAGAGTCACGTAACATCACAGCTGATCATCGAGACGCTTTATGGTGTATTTGGGCTGCATACACCACCACTGAAACTTTAGAAACGGCAGCGGCCACTGTTATGTCTCCCGAGGTGGCGGCTGATGCTGCAGATCCTCCCGAGGTAGTGGTGCACGCTGCCGTGTTCCCCGAGGCGATGGCGCCCAACAATACACGTTCAGCCTGTCATGTCTTATTGTGAAATTAGCCAATTTTGTTTAAATGAAAGGCTGCAAAAACTTCCCACTGAACTGCACTTCTCTATATCAACCCCATACTTTTTGAATGCTGTTAGATCCAAAATGTTTGACTTGGTCTTATGAGATCAGAGTAGTAATTGTGGGCCTTGGAAAAAGTTTAATGAGGATATAATGAGAATATATACTCCACGTTTAATGATTATATAATGAGTATATAATGAGAATAAATGAGTTTATTGTCCTTTGGCTACAGTACAGTAGTTTGCTCCGGTGTGGACAACAACCATGCATTTCACTTCTTCATGTTGCATCTTTTTGTTTTGTTTGTTTTTTGTGTTTCTACTACCTTGTGCAGAAATTTGAAGTTGTGCCATAATACACAGTAGAAAGATAATATATAGGACTGTTGCAAGAATACCTCCCTTCCTCACACCTGTTCCTACTGTGAGGGGGGCAGATTCCACTCCACCTAGAGTAACTTTGACAATCATTCTATCATGAAATTGCAACAATGTAGAAATTAACTTTGCAAGATATCCAAACTACATGAGAACTTAAAAAAAACCAAAAAAAAAAAACCACAATGTACAGTGTCAAAGGCCCACAAAGACAATGAACAGCTTCTTGTGTTCACAACATTTCTCCTCCACCTGGTGTGAGGTGAATGTCCTTTCAACTGTGGTTTAACCTGCTCTGAATCCACATTGTGATTCTGGAGATGCAGAGAGGATGAAGATAGATGCTGTTTTCACAGATGGACCTGTCACCCTTGTGTCTGTAATTTATAATAATACTTGCTTCTCTCCATTATTCTCCCCATTGTTTTTGCTGCCACACAAGGCTGATGAACTGGAGAATTTATCTTTCTTTCAGAATCTCAGTAGGGCTCTTGTATGTCTTGAGACTTGGTTATCCACCATTGATTCTGCAGCTGTAAGGCATACAAATTATTAGGATTTTTAAGGTAGGCTTGCATATAGTTGAGGAGGGCAGAGATGTGTGTGAATTTTTCACTGAACTAATCAACAGTGTGTTAATAGTTGTTATATATCTCTTTTTCCTGATGTCTTGCACCTACTCTTGTGTTACAATAACCCAGCAGAAAGATTTGGTCACTTTCATTAACCTTCCTTAGGGTCTCATCCAATGTCTCTGTGAATATATTCTTCACCTATTCTACTGACGAAAGGGTAGGTGCGCAAGCACTGAAAACTGTGGCAGGCTGCTTTCAAGCAGTGAGAAGGCAGAATGTCATTAACATTTCACTGATGCCAGTTGGTGTCTCAGTGAGCTTGGGACGATACAGTTTTTGACAGCCCATCTGACATCCAATCCAATTATGGATGTGTTAGAGCACTCACCTTCTTCCTTGAGTTTCTAGATCCTTCCCCAAATGAGGTGAGCAGTAAGGATCCTTTATAAGGCTGCTCAGACACAGGGGTCCACGGGGAGCAAGTACCACTCAAGTGGCTTCCAGATCATTCAGTTCTGTCCATCACCAAACACTCCATTGCCAGTGGTTTTTGATGCAAAGAATCTAGAAAAAACTCCACAAATGGTAACATATCCATGCATAGATAACCAGCACCACTGCTTCACCTGATGGCAGATGTTCCTACAGTTCTGCCAAGCCAAGTGGTTCCAGTAACCCCAAGCCCAGTAGTCACAGCACTACCTAGTTCAGTGGTCTCTACACATCTGGGTCAGGTGAACCCAGACTTATTACCTCTGACGTCTGCACTTTGGGCCAGACACACGCTTCTGCTTCTCTATTGTTGCACTCTCTGGATATCCTGCGACCTCTGTTATACCTGTTATACCTGTTGGCCAAGGAGGCCAACCTAAGTTTCCTTGCCTCGGCCACAGAGGCAGTCCCTAGTCCCCTCGTCCCAGCCACGAAGGCCATCCCTAGCTCCATTATCCTGACCATGGGGAACACTTTTGAATCCTTTGTTTGTTGTCTTGTCTCACTAGGTTTGCTCTGGCCTTCACTCCAGATGCCCATCTCTCAGCTGGCCCTCCTGATACTTTAAGCTCTGATGGCCCACCAGACGCAACCAGCTCTGCCGGTCCTCCAAATTCCAAAAACCAGCTCTGCCGGTCCTCCGAGGTGCTCTCCGATCAGCCGGCCTGCCAAAAGCTCCACACTCAGCCAGCACCTCAGAAGTCAGTGTGTCATCTGGCCTTCGAGATGTCTGCCCATAGGCCATCAGCACTCCAGACATCCACCGTAGAACCAGCCTTACAGATGTCAGGCTATCAGCAGGCACTCCAGATGTCCTCTTGTTTGCCAGTATTCCTAGAGTTCTCTACGCCAGTTTTTCTCAAACTTTTTCAGCAGGAGGCCCCCTTGTGTAGGGTGAATCCTTTTGTGGTTATAAGGTTTCAGCGCTTCAACGGATAAGATCTTCAAGCACAACGTGCACTGTGGTCTGCCATCACTATATTCCATAAAGCCATATTTTATAGTTTAGTTTTTTTTTCACACTAGGCTCTTCTGTATTAACCTTCCCAGCTAAGACACTGCATCCTCTATCTAAAAACGTATCCATTTTAAAGAGTCTTAGCATTTATCAGCGTGTTCATGGCTAACTGTTCTGTGCACTAGTACGTCAACTGAGTTTTTGGTGACGTTTCAGCGTAGTGTGCTGCATATAATTGATATTACTTTATTATTTTTTCAATATTTCTATTTTTTATTTACAAGTAATATACATAGGTTGACAATCCTGATCCTGTAAAATATATTTTTTAAACAATTTTCTAATTTAGAATCTAGAATTTCTATGCGTCCTCCCTAGCGCCATCTGGTGGACCCCAGTTTGAGAACCACTGCTATAAGCCACTTGAACTCCAGTGGTCTCCGATGCAACCCGGGGGCTCATCTGCTCTGCTGGTCTTCTGCTCCACCTTGGGGGTATTCAGTCCCATCTGGCCTGCTGTGGTGGTCTTCTGCTCTGCAGTGGGAGTCTTCAGTCTCATATGCTCGGCTGTGGTGGTCTTCTTCTCTGCCATTGGGTTCTTCTGCTCCACCTTCTGGCTTCCTTCCTTGCTGGCACCATCCTGGCTCTCGATTTCCCCTCAGTGTCCAGGCTTGCCACACGGGCCTGGCCATCCATCTTTTTCTCATATTCAGTTTTAGCTCCTCCACTCCCCGAACGTTAATTTGAACATGGGAACATTTGTTAGATCACACCTGTAATCTCATCCTCGTCTTTTTCATGGGCTTGCATCCGTGGCAATTTCCTTATCCATTGTGGTATTCATTTCATAGTTATATTACTTGTTACTTGTCTATTTTTTATTTTAAAAAATCATTTTATTACACTTGTGCCTTCCTTGTGTTGATAATACAGTAAGAGTCTCATAAATTCTCCTTAATTGTTCTTTTATTGTTAAGGTGAAATGCCTTAGCTGGTACCCCAAGGTAAAAGGGGAGAGGGGTCATCCGACATTTTCACACTTAAGTGACGTGACCAAAACTCACAATATTAGGTTGGTGCCAGCTGTGAGAACCATTACATATAAAAGCTTGAATTTAGACTTAGAATTTACAATATTATTTGAAAAGTTTGAAGCGAATCATAAGGAACCCATCAAAATATATCTTAAAATCTGTTTTTAGTGTTTAGTTTAAGTTTTTAGCTGTTTTAGCCTATTTTAGCTGATGGGAACAGATCAACTGATTTGTCTTAATCATAAAAAAGTTATTTTTTTTAAATATTAGCCATCCTGGTATTTTAGAGGCAATGATGCGTGTATATGTGTGTAAATGTGTGTTTTGCCTATTCCTGGTTGTTGTGTAATACTGACAAAGTATAGTAACAGTCCAGTGACAGATAGTGACAGTCCAGTTGTTACACAACATTTATACAATAATTATATGTGTCCACAACAGCTCTCATCTGTGTGTCTTTTTCTCACTGAAGAATTATTGACTCATGGGGATAAACAGATAATGGCTACTTCCCTGAAATACAAGGTACATTCCATGTTATTAGTTTTATGCTTTCATCTATGCATTATGCTGCGAGTGTAAGTAAGCACTTTTACACACACTGACTGGATTCACATTAAAACCATAAAACCACATGGAGAAAATCATTAACTGGCCTGCTGTTTTTGGTGATTCATAAACCTCTCCTTCTCTCTTCTCAAGGTCATCACGTCCTCAGGGGTCGACATGTTTCTCATGGGAGAATGTTCTAGTAGATTGATGCAGCCATCTTTTTCACTCACAGCAGCCAGCAGAGCCTGTTGTCTGATGGGAAGGTAAGAGAAGGGGGATGGTTACGACCTATGGTAAGTCATTAGTAAGTAATTTATTAGAAGCAGACAAAAACATAAAATACAGTAAACACACACATACACACATAATGAAGGGCACAGAAGGAGGACATACTTAGCCATCAAGAGCATTTCGGTGATAACTCACAGTCTCCTTCTCGTTTCCTGTGATCAGAAGAATTTAGACCATATGGTGCACAATTTTGCCCAAAAGGTCAGACAGGGAATTTTAAACTGCTGCCTATCATCATTAAACTACTCAAAAAAAAAAAAACCTCTCTCTTTCACAAACTATAGTTTGATGCATCCACAACCACCGTAAAAACCATGAAGCCATTTTTTTCTGTGATTATGCAGGGAGTAAAGCTTATACTGTAATACAGGGGTGTCCAAACCTCTTCCTGCAGGTCCACTGTTCTGCAGATTTTAGCTCTAATCCTAATTGAGCACAGGTCTTCAGACTCAATAGAAAATTCCAGGAAAGTGTGTTGGAGCTTAATGGAACTAAACTCTGCAGGATGTTGGCCCTCCAAGAGCAGGATTGGATACCCCCTGTGTAGTACATTGTTTCCTTCACATTTTCTGCCTTTTAACTTAGTAAGATATTGGTTATATTAGTTTCTCATTTGTTCACATAGTATAGTTTTGCCATATCTTCCTATTATAGTGCATTCGTAAGGGGCTTGTTTTGGGAGCACTATTTCCTACCCAATGCGCAATAACTGCAATAACTTTATTTATTAGACCAGGTTGCTTTTTGTGATATATGGACACCAATCACCAGTTTTAATATGGAGACGTATTCAAATGAGATTGAAAGGAGATCAGCACATGTATGCACAATTTATGAGACAATCATACAGAAACACTTTTACACCAGACGTTACTCAGACATTTCAGAATAACCATAACAACATTTCAGATGCTGTACAATGAGATCAGACCGTTGGTTAGTCAAGTTATGCCATTCCATCGTGCAAAGTTACATGACTTTTTTGATGTGCATAGAGGATTTTATTCACTAAATGTGTTTCCATCTAGCATCACTCGCATTAATTCTTTTTGTCAAAAACCGCCTCAGCAACCATAAAAACATTTTTGCAAAATTAGGGATTTATGTTTATTTTAATTTTTTATTTGTCGTTTCTGATGAGATACTTCAAAATATGCATAAAAACAGAGTGATGGAAACTTAGCTATTGCCATTTTTAATTTGTTGGGGAGTTATTTAAAAACAAACTTGGTATAATACACACCCTGTAACTGTTGTTACTCTAGCCCTGTGCAGATTGAGACACCATCACCATCGCTTAGCTTTTCATATTCACCATACCGTCATACATGCCCGTGTTTTTTGTATAATAAAAATGTAACTTGCAATTTGAGAGACCACGTATAAGGAAGTGATTATCGGCTGGTTCCATGATCTGGATCAGTGGCCGTTTGTTTGGAGCATTCCAAGAACACACCTATGAAAAAAGTTTTTTTGCATCCATAAATTACCGCAGAGCATTTAACCCTTTGGGCCTCTACATTTTTTGGTCACACTTAGTACCTTCGCAGTCAAAAGTGACTGAAGTGATGAAATGTGACTTTTTTTTTTTTTTAGGAAAATCAGTGTAATTGTCACACTACGAGCCAGAGACACAAGGTAAGGATGCAAACAAGAGGGTTTGTTGAACAATGCGGAGAGTTGATGACAGGTGAGTATGAGATGCTAGAGAGTTCTTGGGTTCTTAGCTCTGGGTAGTTTGTTGGTATCCTTTGCAGGTATCCAGAGAGGATGAGAACGGGATCGTTGGAAATCAGGATCGATGGAGCTTCTAGGGGTAAGTAAACAACAGATCAGATTAAGGTAGGAGTCAGGCTAAGTTCAAGCTGGTGAACGGTAGACCGGACAGTGAGGCAGTGAGAGGAGTGCAGGGATATAGTGAGCTTAATGAGTCTCTGCAGGTGCGGGTGATCAGTATTCTGGTGATTGCGATCTGGTGTGTGTCAGGACTGGTGACTGAAGTGACATAGGTGACTGTGAAGGCAGAGACTCCCTGACATTACCCCCTCATTTACAGGCCTTAGAGAAACGGTCGACTGTTTCCATCAGAGATGGGCAGGTCAGTCACGAAATCCACTCCTATGTGGGACCAGGGTCTCCGTGGTATGGGCAGCGGGACAAGCTTGCCTACGGGAAGATGATGAGGAGTTTGAGATGGAATTCGATGGAATTCGCACTTCTCCAGTTTAAGGTAAAGGTGATGTTGTCGGAGCCTCTGTAGGACCTGCTTCACGTGGTGGCGATGTTCGGCCAGGTTCTGGGAATATATGAGGATATCATCGATGTAGACTATGATGAAGCGATGAAGGAACTCCCGGAACACCTCGTTCATGAAGCCTTGGAAGACTGACGGTGAGTTAGCTAGGCCATACGGCATGACCTGATATTCATAGTGGCCTGCGGGAGTTATGAATGCCATCTTCCACTCGTCGCCTTCCCGGATACGAACAAGGCTGTACACGCTCCGCAGGTCCAACTTGGAGAAGATGCGGGCTCCACGGAGTTCCTCGAGGGCGGCTGGGACCACGGGAAGTCGGTATGGCAGCTTTACCATCTGGGAGTTCAGCGTGCGATAATCGAAACACGGCCTCAAGCCCCCGTCCTTCTTGCCCACGAAGAAGAAGCTCAAGACAGCTGGTGAAGTGGATGGTTGGATGAATCCCTGTTTGAGAGCCTCCTGGATGTAATCCTCCATGGCCTTGCGCTCCGGGATGGACAGAGGGTATACTCTACTTTTGGGGAGTTTCATCCCAGGCAGCAGGTCGATGGCACAGTCCCATGGCCGATGAGGTGGAAGGCGGGTGGCAGCCTGCTTACTAAAGACATCCTGGAACGCCACATAGTCAGATGGGACAGTAGGTGTCTCTTGAGGTTCCAGACTTTCGACTAGGGTGGAGGCAACTTGGGCTCGGACTAGATACGCAGGCGGTTTGGGGATCTCCCCAAGACAGTTTTGCCGGCACGACTCGCTCCAGCGAGTTACCTCACCGGGTTCCCATCTGACCTCTGGAGAGTGAGACAGG